AGAATGGATTCGTCGATCAAGTTCAATGTACAAGGTGATTCTGTGATAAAAATATCTTCTTTTTTGCAGGGGAAAGAACAGTGATGAATCGTATTTTTTTTTTCTTTTTCTGTTACGAAACTTTTTACAAATCTGCAATTTATCGAATGTTCTTTTACATATTTTTATCCTAAAATATTCACGATTTTATATATACATATATTTATTTATTTATTTATTTTTGTCGATATTAGAATATTTTTGTAGTTTCTTTTACAAATGTCACATGTTTGCATACGTTTGCATACGTTTTTCCGTAAAATTGTTATTTGATTGTAGATCCGAGATTAGAAGATTAGAATAAAATATATAAGCAAATTTTCGATTATTCTTGATCGAAACTGCACATGCATCCCAATATATCTCGAAGTACCTTAATTATTTTTCAAAAATAATTTTGATCTACAAATCATCTGACATCACATATACATTCTACGATTCATGATTCATCAATCTTCTAATATCGATTTTACAGAATAACGCATAAAAACGTAGTATATTTAAAAAAATCTAACAAAAATATCGACAAAAGTAAACGAAACGCGCATCATTTCTAAAATCACGCGTGTCGTGTAATAAACGAAAAAGAACAACATTCGTTTATCAATATCAATAAACAATTCGAATCCTATTCGATGCGGATGTTGAGAAGCTGTTTTCTGTATTGGATACTCACTTGGGTCCCATCATTACTCGTGGACAATCGTTGGGAGCCGGAACACACACGGCCTTGTCGAGGATAGTTTAACCACCACGCCCTGCTCCGACATTCTCCTCGATTACGCGTGTAATACACCCACACACGAACGAGGGACTTGGCCACAGTCCTCTCGCGTGGGCAGACTATTCCCCGCGGTGAAAACGCGACACGATGCGATATCGACACTTTTCCTTTTTCTCCCCCCCCTCTTCTTCTTCTTCTTCTTCTTCTTTTCGTCCTTTTTTTTTTATTTTGCGTTCGAAAATTGTCGTTGTCGTTGCTTGTAAACTTGCTTCAAACGTGCGTTCTTCTCGCGCGGAGATACGAAATTGATCGTGAGATAAGGTGATTGCGAGTTTTCTTGTTCGATGGATTTTCAGATTTTTAGATTTTTATTTTATATCCGCTCGTTTCTTTGAACGACAAATTGTCATATCGGATTTTTAGGGGATCTTTTTTCAAGTTGTTTTGATGATATTCGTGCGTGTTTCTTCCATTTCTCGAAGGAGAAGAAGGAGAGGAGGAAGAAATTTAAAAAAAAAAAAAAAGAAATTAAAAGTTTTTTAATTTTAATGGATTAAATGAAATCGAGAAAAATTTCGTTTCGTAAAAGTTAAATGTTGATAATCGAGAGCAGTTTGTTGACAATAAATAAATTATATGTAGGTAGATTTCAGGGAAGGTGAACCGTCGTCGTTGCGGTTTTAATCGCGGTCTTGTGTTAGAAAGTGGCTATTATATGCTTCGTATATCTGATTAAATATAAGAAAAGATATTATTGATGGCGAAGCGCTTGTTAAGTTAATTTTCATCGTTTATGCTACTCTTTGGACGGAATATTTATGCTTAGTTTTATGTCTCCATATTTTTTTGGTACATATATATTCGATTAAAATGTTTTTCAATCTTATAAAAATTTCAGAAAGATAACTTACATCTTCTAACCGTCGAATCAAATAAAAGATTAATTTTAGTTTAATTGTATCTGATGTTACGTTATATTTATGAATAAAATTTAAATTTCGAGAAATTGAATTAATTTATACATTTAGAAAAATGGAAATGTAACATCAATAATTTTCGCTTTAATCGTTGCCTAGTAACGTATTATTATTATGGAGAATGAAGGATTATGCTCTGCACTTTAAAAGATATATCGTGAATTATTGGCGATTAATACTATCAGATGACAGAATTAAACGTATAGAATTGCTATTTCCTAGTTATCACTCTGAGAATTATTGCACGTCATAGAACGATTAATTAAATCATATAAATAAATTGTAATTAATTTAGGTAAATTTAATTATTGATGTGAAATCGAATTATTGATAATAATTTTTAATTATTATTTAATTTTTAATTATTAATTTTAATTATTGATAATAATTTTTTAATTTTACATAAAATTCTCAAAAAAAAATTCATGAAAACAACGAACATCGAGTTGAAAAAAATAACACATATTTAAATTTACAATTGCACGAATATGTAAATGTCCCTGATATTTTGTAAAAAGTGATCCGTAACACGAATGTCATCAACGTCATCGATTAAACTACAATTTTCCAAACAGCTGTCACAGAGACATTAACAATTATCAATATCGCACAATTTTCAATAATTATTTGCCTCTATAACTTGTTCCATCTCACTCACTCGAAGATAAAACGTTATAATCGTTTTACGTCATGTTTTTTACATAAAATATCTTCAAATAGTTTTTGCATAAACGAAATGATCATTTTTGAAAATTTAATCAATCGAATGATATGTAATGACATGTAAAATGTCAATCGTGTGAAGAAATGGAAAGAGAGCACGTAGAAAACTTTCTATAAGCAGAAAAAAGAAGAAATGACAATATATCGTGATAAGATACGAGCACATTGATCCACTTTTGGCTTTTGAAAACACATAAAATTAAAAATAATTTTGAAAATATTCATTTTTCAAATTACTTATTAAAACTCTATTTCTTCATTTAACGAGTATCATTTCAATAGTAATTTACTAATATCTATGGATATAACTTTACAAAAAAAATCACCATCACCGAATCATGTTGATATTCATGGAAGAAAGTAAAAAGAAAATGTATTTGAAAAATGTATTCGAAAAGGAAAAAAAAAAAAAAAAAAAAAGAAAAAGAAAAAGAGAAAAGAGAAAAAAAGCGGAACGAGTTCGTCGTAAGAATTTTATTTCACTGATACCCGGAACGAATCGATGCTCATACTACTTACTTCCAACGTATCCGTGAAACACGTAAAATCTACTTTCTAAAATTAAATTTCAAACACATAATTGTTCTATTTCCATATTAAAGATTATAAAATGCGATATAATTCTTGATTGCTATACGGTTACACTGTTGTAGCTATGTACATAACATACTATACAATTAGACAGACTTGCCAACTTGTTCGACAAGATTGTATCAATATTAACACAAAGCGTAACAATAATTAGTGTTAACTTGAAAATAAAATTCGATACTCTGTCACTTCTTTGCACTTCTGTTTCTTTCTATTTCCTGGAATATACACGTATCTTGAGTCAAGAATAAATTCGTTATTATTTCGAAAAATTAACGAATTTGCGCGAGTAATTGCGGGGGAAAGGGGAAAGATGGTTGTAACGGTAGGTCGTTAATCGACCGACAGATGACGTCGTTGGCTTGTAACAAACGGTTCAAGTAGCATTCGAGCAAGAAAGAATCCAAGATGGAGAGCAGAGCGTGCGTTTGCACATGTATAAACCGGGCTATCGACCCGGATGTTTTGTTCTAAAGGATGCTTACTTCGCTGAAGTTTCACACATTTATCGATAATCCTTATCGTTTTTGGATCAAATGGAAAATAATTTTTATCGTGATCAATAGATAGGATGGATTAGTGAAATGAATATAAATGAAGAATTCTTTTATTTATATATGAACTTGTTGGAAGAAGACAAAGGTAATATAATTAAATTCTGTAATAAAAGTTCATTAATTTCCTATGATCTTGTGATATTTCATTTTTTCAATCAATGCAATGTTTTATAATTCTGTTTGAAAATAGAAATAAAATAAATATTATATGCTTCATGTTTCGAAATTGTTGTTACGAAGACAGTTATACGACACGAACAGAACGATCGAAAAAGTTTCAAGGTCTGAATTGAGAAATCGTGCGGTAATCCATCATATGTGTTCGTTAATCTGACAGATTTACAACTCTCTTCAAGTTTGCGAGAAGTACGATACAAGAGAGCGTAAGATAATATCAGACACATTACCATGGTATTTTTTAAAGTAAACTTTAAGTGAATTTCGTAAAAGGTAGAGTGAAAAAGTTAATCGAAAATTTATAAGATTATTAATTTATAAGTAAAAGCTACGATTCTATAGCATATAACTTCATTCAATGAAAATTTTCCTCCATTTTCCTATCAATTAAATAATCTTTTATCTAATTTTAATTTTAATTAAGATTAAAATTAAAAAAAAAACTAATATTTATTCTTGATGATTTTTCTAATATATTGCCATTCTAAATATAAAGATTTTATATTTAGAGATTATATTATCGATTGTTGTTCATTAAAAAAAATTATCAATCATCAAGAAAACAATTTAAGTTGGATTAATCGTTATTTACTAATCGTTATTTACTAATATATATATAAAAGATTAAAGAACTTGATAAATAAATATTTAAAAAGTTTTTTGTAAATATTTATCAAAAATATTGACGCTCTTCCGTAATTCGAAATTCTACTTATTTTAATATCGAGATATTTTCAAAATTTACGTTTTTCGTAACCAATCATATTATAACCTTTGATATTGGATTTGATTTAGATTTATAAGCGATACGTATTGAACTTGATACCATCGATATAAACATTGGACCGAATTGCTCTCTCTCTCACTCACATTCTCCGCTGATATTCAAGGCTGTACATATCCCTACGACAATCTCCTCGGCAGAAACACAGTCGGCACGATAAATCGATATCGATATAGAGAAATAATAGAGGGTGGAAAAACGGTGAGTAATAAACGTGTGCAACGCGTGCTATGAAAATAGGCGGAATGCGTGTCCGCATAAATTGCGGATAGCAAAGCACGCGTGAAAGATAAAGCACGTCTGGACTATTCTCTCCTTTTTTTCTCTCTCTCTCTTTCTCTCCTTTTTTTTCTCTCTCTCTCTTCTTTTTTTCTCTCTCTTTCTCTCCTTTTTTTTCACAGTCATGCAGTCACACGTTTCAACGACAATCAATCCGTGCAAAGGAGAAGAGAAAAAAAAGAATGGGCAAACGAGTTTGTGAAAAGAACGACGCGTGCTACGTCGTGCAGAATATGTTTAGAACTAAAAGTATTGGAAATAATCGTTGGAATGAAATAATATTCATATATATGTATAGAATGATTTGACCGATATTTTGAAACGTTGAAGAACATCGGTGGAATTACATAAAAATAATCCAACGGATTCACGAGACAATTGCATCTAATTTACAACAAACAATGGCTACAAATTTACGATCGACAGTATATATTTTATCTGTTACATCGAATACCACGCATCATCGTTTACGCAACAGAGTATAATAATTCATTTCGGAAATTAAAATTTCTTCCACATGACAATGCAACTTCTTCGTATCAAAAATACATCTATAAAGTTGTTTCAAGGTAAATCTTTGATCGGCCATCATCGTTCTCGATGTCATAAATCTCATGTCACCCGATCTCACATTCATCCAAATAAGAAGAACAAACAGGCTCGAAAAAAGAGAAGAAAAGGAAAGGAAAGAAAACGAAAAAAAAAAAAAAAAAAAAACAAAAAACAAAGCGATGATCGACAGAGGCGTGAGAGAAAGCGTGGCGAGTACGTAACGTGTGTGCAAAGAGGACGAAAACGAAATGTGTACAGAAGCGATTCTCGATAAGTTCCACGAACGATCGGCTTTTATGCTGGGAAGCGCTTGGACACGGTAGTTGGACCGTGACCGAACCAAGAAGCATAATTAATTATCCGATGTGATCTTTGGCGAGTTGGTGGCAAGGAACCAGCCACCGTTCAGATTGCGCTTGGCCAGATGGTAAACAGATCTGGATCAGAGGAGAAAATTTGAGATGAATTAAAATTTGTTTCCACAAATAAATATTAATTCGAATATTTTTCCTCTAATTTCTACGATTTACGTGGAAATAATGTTTATTTATTGTTCGTATGTGGATTTGTAATGTGAAATGAAATATTTATTTTCCGTTTAATCGAAATGTATATACGCTACTGTCAAAGGTTTGGAAAATAATTAAAAATTGTATTTTTATTGCAAAAAGGTATATATAAAAAATATTACGAATTATTGTAAAATAACCTTAAAAATTTGTTGCAGATTTTCTTTGGCATTTTATTTAATAATTTCTTTAGATCTTCCGGAATTTGTACATCTTACAAAGAAGTTAGAAACTACTTACCGAAGAATACTTTCTAAGTACTCTGTAACTTGATAATGCAAACGCATAAATTTGTGTACTATGTAAACGGAAATTTCACAGTAACAACTCGAGCTAAAACTAAACATTGTATGAAATCCAATCAGGTATACATATATTTATGTACATATAACGAAATTATTAATTATTTATTTAAATATTCTTTTCTCCAAAATTTTTTTAAAGATATGTATTTTTTTTTTTATAAACCGATATACATCATCAAATATACAATATTAATTATATTTCTGATATACATCAAAGCAGGTTTTCACAAGGATTTCGAAAAATAAATCAAAACAATTCCACTCTAATAAAAAAGACAAGAAGAGAAAAGAAAACGGCGATTTATCTATCGTTGATCTGAAAGCAATCGAAAATACAATAATCCATACGAACAGTACATAACGAATAGTCGTATCGAGCTATTACGCAATAAAGGACAATGTTGGCATAGGTTTTGGCCGCAGGCGAGTCTTTTAATCATATTCAATCGTATAATAATTAATATTCATTCTTGCGCGTTAATATTCAATCTTGCACAATCAGGAATCGACGAGCGATTTTCAGACAGCCGGTGTCCCGTTAAGAAATTGCATTTGTATGCTATCGAACGATCCGATCTCTTGGAGAGCTTGCTTGTGGCACGATAAATAATGTTATATGTATACCCCCTTTTTTTTTTCTTCTCTTTTCCTCCATTTCTTCTCTTCGTAACAGTAAATTCGTTTCTTTATCTTTTCCTTTCTGTCTTTTCTGTCGAGTTGGAGAAAATAGATTCTTGAAATTGATATTTAAAGGGAAAGTTTTCTTCACTTTTTTAACCAATATGTAGGATATACCTTTCTTATTTCATATCCAAAAAGTGGGATAAACGTAGAACATCCCTCAAGTTTGATAAAATGATTAATTCAATGAAAACCTAATCTAAATCACATTCAAAAAAGAAAATTATACAATGTGAAATACTTCTGAAGTGAAAATATATATGTAATCTAACCTGATTTAATTTAATCTAAAACATATTCAAAAAGGAAAAAGTACATAATATGAAACACTTATAGTCTAATAATAAAGTGAAATTATATATATAAGTAAACTTAAACGTGAAACACATTCAAAAAAGGAAAAGTATATAATATGAAATATCTATGAAGACTGACAATAAAGTGAAAATATATATGATGTATGTAATCTAACCTGATTCAACTTAACTTGAAACAGATTCAAAAAAGGAAAAGTACATAATATGAAACACTTATAAAATGAAATTAGTACATATATGTAAGTAAATTCATTGCTAAATGTCACTATGGCCCATATCTTGAAAACAGGTACTTTCTATCTTCAATTTGTGTACGGATATATTCCATATTTTCTAATACACGTTTCAATCTATTTCAAAATCTTTCCAGATCGATTTCTCGAACGTTATTATGCGATATCCAATTGTAATCCTCGACAAGAGCAAAAGCTTCTTGATGGCGCGAGAATTCTTATCGCGATCGTCATTAGCCTGATTCGAGACCTCCCACTGGCTGGCAGCTTTCTACGGGTAAACGTTATTTATTGGAGGATTAATAAGCGGCTGGCTAACCGGTGATTAGAGGCCGCCTTCTCGAGACTTTCATTATCGTAAAACGTGTCGATTGTGATTGTGCCCCCGACACCGACGAAAAAACTATCTTTACCATAGCCGTTCTTTTCTTCCACTGCTGGGATGAGCATCAACAATGATGTGGATTGATTATAAATGGAAGATTTTACATTTTTAATTTTTAATGTTACGAAGACGTAATTGGAATTTAGATAAGTGAACGTGGCAATACGTAAAGTCTCGTTCATAAAGTTGGAGTTCCAGTTCTGTATTTTATTTGAATCCTTCCTTTCTTTCGATGAAGATTATTTACAATAATGTGGATTGATCATGAATGGAAGTTTGAAAATTTTTTTACATTTTTAACGAAGACGTAATTGGAGTTTATATAATCATATAATCATATCTATTATGTAAAGTTTCGTACGTATAAAATAGAGTTCCATTACATTCACAAGTATTCTTCATTCCATAAATGTCTCTTTCTTTTTAGTCGGTGATTAAGACGAAGATTAACGGCGATGGAAATTTAAAGATTTATATTTAACTCTCGAGGATCAAAAAGTGACCGATATTCATAAATACTAACCAGGTTTAATTGAACAAGGATTAATTATATTATAATTGTATAATTGAAAATGAAGTCAAAATTCGCATTTATATTAAAATTCACATCTTCCAACAGACTTGCAGACTTCAGATCCTTCTACTCTTCCACCATTCTTCAGAGCTCGAGTACAAAAGGCAATTTACTGTATGCTTCCCTGCATAAACTACGAACTACAAATAAACAAACGTCCAATTTCAAAGAAATTTTATCTCGTACACGAGTTAACCGATAACCATAACGATCGGTGGATGCGGATATTTCGTGAGATCCACTTCTCCATAAAAAGGTTTGTACACGTTGAAGGCGATTACCTTATCGACGTACAAGGGAAGAAACCTTTCGATCGTCCTTGCACGACAGGACGGCGAAGACCTTTGCCACAATGGCACGACGCTCCCACTCACGATTGGAAAAATCGTTTCTCCATCGATGGCCGCAATCATGCTGAACGATAACTCCGGACGACATTTTAATATTTGAAACAATTAACGAGTAATTATACGAATAATGAACAACAGTTTGTGTCTCTAGTGTCACCAGTTTCACATTATACGTTATTATACGTTGTTCTCTTGGTGGAATGGTAAATCACTATAATTAAGAAGTCTTATGAAATAGAATTAATTCCTTGCTTTGTATTTCGTATTTTCAAGAGATATAATTGGAACAGAGGAATTTCAATTCAGAGGGAATATTAATTTTAGGATAGGTTCTTTTCGTGGGAAATTTTGATTTTAGAATTTGTCGAATGATGATGGTGGAGAGTTATACGTGAACAAAGAAGTTATATTCTTCTAAATTTTTTTCACTTTCTTTCTTCAATTAAAAAGAATAATATAGAATAATATTGAGAATATTTTGTTGCGAGAGATGAAAAATTTCTCTAAATAGATTTCAATTTTGTTGATTAATTCAAATTCACTTTTCATCCATGTAAGATCCTCGAGCGATTTAAAATTTTATTCCAACGCTATATATCATCTCACTTTTAAAAATGATCCAAAACACGCTTTCACTAAATCCAAACATATCGCGTGAACGTCCACGAAGAGAACACGATCCAAATTTCTCCTCGATTCGAAGCTCAGAACCAACTTCCTGGTTTCTATTATGATTTAATGGCGGACGAGAGCGATAAAACGTATTAATATTAATCACGTATCTTGTCAATCTGAACAAGATCGATTCGTGTTAGAACAATTTCGAGCATCGTATCGTTGTCGCGTAGGTTCTTTTTTCTTTCTTCCTCTTCAATTTTTCTTCTCCCTCTTCTTAAGGTTTCGAAAAGAGAAAGAAGAATCAATTAACGACTCGAGAGGAGAGAGACTTTTGTATAGCGGCACCGGTGGCGAGGATGGAAGGACCAAGCTCTCGAGGATCTCGACGGTAGAAATATACCTTATTCGATGGTGTCGTTCACCTTCCAGATGACCGTAAACGAAGACCGGTCCAAAACGGAGCGGAACACCGGTTCAAAGAGGCTTTCTTTTACAAGATCCTCGATTATTTCTTCCTGGATTCGAAGCGACAATGATCTAATGGAAATCGATCGATTGATATTTGTTCAATTTAGTAAGTAAGTGTAGTAAAGTAATTTAAATTTCACAATTTTGTATCGATTAAATTTAACTTGATATGACGTTGAATTTTAATACAGATCGTCATCCATATGTATGTAAAGAATAAAAGCTTCCAAACAATCACCAACTTTTAACGATACGAATACATCATACAAAGAATCTTTCAAATGAATCTGAATCAAACGATCCTCGTGTGAATATACATACATTGAATAATTGAATAATAACATTTTTGATTTTTGATCTCGAACAGCAATCATCTGTTAAATTTGTACTATATATCATAAGCGATATCCATGGCATAACCATGACTGATATTTTTGTAAGAGATCAGAATTCTTTGTAAAAGAACTCTACGTTAATTTCCATTTCTAATGCAGGAATTTGTGACATCCCTGATTGTATGCAACCACGTGTGGTTATGCCAACAAAAGAAATTAAACCACTAGACTATCGTTTCAACGAAATCACATGGTATGGTCAAAAGAAACTAGACAATCTTTCAACGAAGATAAACAAAATAACTAGAAACAGATACTACGAACAGATACACGTATCACAAACAATAAAATCTAACTGGCATTTCCAATGCAAAAATTCATATTACTCTAATTATAGACAACTATACACAATCAGAAATGCCTAACAAAATAGTTCGAACAGCGTTGTAATTAACGAAATTATGGTTTGGTCAAAAGAAACTAGGTCATCTTCCAATAAAGATAAACAAAAATCACTTGAAACATCACGAAAGGCGATTAACTTTTTATTCCTACTTTATTAATCGCAATGCAAGAATTCGTATGAGACTCCTAACTGTAAGCAACCACAGATGTTAAGAAAATAGATAAAACAGCATCAATTTATAATTTCAACGAAATATATGATTTAATCAAAAAAAAAAACTAGACAATTTTTATCTTTATAGACAAACGAGAATAAAGAAAAGAACTTGGAACAGGCGGCGATTAATCCATTACCACTTTATTAACCGCGATCACGTCAATTCTTCGAGCAACAATACATTTAACACGCGTTTTACGTTTAATCGTACGATTGCTCAATCATTCTCGCCGCGTCGAGAGAAAGAGAATTAATTCAACGGGAGATTTATGGACGAACGCGGAAGATAAAGTTACCTTTGATCAGATTATATTTTATTGCGTACTGCGGAGGTGTGGAGAAGGGTTGCAAGCATGGCTATAAAATTAGAATAACGCGTGTAAGGAACAACGCTCGACAATAATGTGAATGTACATTGATCGTCACGTTTGCTGGGAAATACATGTTTCGATTTTAAAACTGCTGCGTTGGGATAATGAAGAGAGTGGAAATAGTTTCTAACAGTTAAGTAAATTAGCTTTTAATCGAGTAAATAATATTAAAATGTTAGGAAAAATTTTGTTTATCTATAATATTAGGGGGTTATCAAAAATATCTGCGTTATTTTTATACATAATTCAAAAGTAGACTTGAAAAAGTGATAAATTGTTAGATAGAAAAGTATTTTAAAAGAAAAAAAGAATTATCCCATACTTCGAATCCAAACAAAATTTACAGGTTTTGAAACGTACATCAAAATAATAGATTTATTTCCAATTCCAATAATATAACGATATAAACTTACATATAATAATTCAATAATCTATCTCCAATAATAAAATTGGAAACGTAGACACGAGTGAAATCAGTAACCAGAATTTTTCGAGTGAAAATTCTTCTCGACGAAAAGTGAAAAAGTATCTACGACAAACTTTTACGATCTCACGCGTATCATCGCCGACTTTCTACAACAAAAGTTACTTAACCTAACTTAACAAGCGTAGCTCGCTATTATCCATCGAGTATCCTACTATCATCGAATGAAAAATAAGAAAAAAGTTAAAAGAAGGTGGCGTTCTAAAACATAAACGTAATCTGATCCGCGACTTGAAGTAGGATCGAATCGAATCGAAAGTGACTTTTCTGTTTGACGAGAGCACTTGTACATGTGCCAGGACTTCTCTCGTTCGCCTGTTCCGCCAATCTGCCTAATTATACGTTGCATTACACGTTACATGCGTTCGCGTGCACGCCTATAAGGATAAAAGCGACTTTCTCACGAACTTACCTTTCCTGTTGGCTCGAATATCCTTTTCCTACAGTTCGTTATCTCGAAGAAGACGAAAGCTCGTCGATCAAATTAAATTCTCATCGTGAGAAGAATTGATTTCGTTAGAATTGGAATTGGAAAAATATAACATGTATAACATGTTCATATAGCGTATAACATTGCTCATATTAAATTTCTTATTTGTTACTTTGTTCGATCAAATTAAACGTCAAGGATCGAGAAAAGAAATGATTTGAAATTGAAATTGGAAAAATATAGTATTTACAAAATGTATGAGTATTGCTAAATTTTTTATTTAAATTTGTCAGTTTGAAAATCATTTTTGGATCGCTGAAAATTCGAAAATTATGGATATTTTTTTTTTATAAAAATTTAAGAAATTATTCAAAAGATTTAAAAGATTTTGTTTAATATTATAATATAACCTACTTATATTTAAATTTTAATAAAAAAATTCGAAAAAAAGATAAAATAAGATATACAATCGAGAAAAAAATTAAAATTTCATCGAATTCTTTTCCATATCACATTATATCTGTTTATTTTTATTAGTATCTTACTATACTAATTTTTAACGAAAATTTTATCCGCATTCGTGCAACGTATCTCGATATTTCGACACGATAAATTAAAATATAAAATTAATCATGATTTATGGAAATAGATATAAGTAAGCGATCACAATACAACGTTGTATTCCATTATGCTCGTAGTGGTAGATCTCGATTGAATCGAAAGAAAAGTGATCCTGTGGAATCTGAGCACGTGCAGGTACCATGTGCACGGAGTGCATTCGATGCGAATAGCGATGCGCCAATTTTTTTTTTATTAAATTGCAAATTACCCTGAAGTCGCATAAATCTTTTCTTTTCGAAAAATTCGAAGAAGCGAACCGTGCCTCGAAGATAACGTGTTTAATTAATCTACGAAAGATTAAGCATAAATCAACGTGAAGTTTTATTCGACATTTCCTAAATGAATGAAGAAAATTCAGAAAAAAATCGTTACACGTATCATTAAATTAAACGTTAATCGTTAAATTATTTAGAAATTCCATAGAAATCTTCTTTCGATTTTTCAAATTTTCATTCTTCGTATCGGTCGTATTTATACACGTGTAATGCGTTGCATTAGATCAGTTGAGATAAAAGAGAAGTTGAGATATCGCTTGACGTAACAGTTAACAGAGAAAGAATTTTCTCCAGATGTTATCTCCACGATTTCGCGATGGGGAGTGTGTGTTGATTTGATTGAATGGCCAAGAAACGTTTCTTAATCGCGTCTGTATGTTAGAGACGTGATCTAACCTAAAAGATACATTTTCGGTGATGTGAAAATCGACCGATTCGAAGTTTGTAACTTGTAATTTATGTTTCACGCGATCGAATGGATATATAGAAATTATGCAGTTCTGCCAGGCATATTATTATGTCGCATAGATATAATAATATCGTTGTCAATGTACGGTAAATATTAATCCATATTGCATCAGTCGATCAATGTAAACATCGTATAATAAACGCGTCCAAGTATGAAATACCGTTGCATATTATTATTATAAATCCTTATAAATAGAAAAGATATATAAACCGTTTCAAAACAGAGAGAATAAACATTTTTCTTTTCGAAAATTTTTTTAAGTTGAGTTATTGGCAAGAAACAATTATAGAATATATATATATATATATATTTGTTAGATTTCTAGAGTTATATATTTGAAAGGGAGAAAAAACTTGGTAGAAGAAGGATGACACGGATAATCGATAGGATGGAACGCGTGACAAGTGAAACAAACCTTTATACCCGAAACAATAGATCGTTCTAAAATACGGGCGTGATCTCAGAGAGTAGAACGAGGCATCCATTTTGGCGGATGCTTATTACACTCTCACGGATTTGTGCGGTCGTCGAAGGCGAGGATAATGGACGCGGTGCCCGCAGCGTTCCTTTGACTCGGCAAGAATTTAACTCAAAACGTTACACTCGTCGATGTACACACCTATTTTCTGCATTCTAACGTTCCAGACGATCGTCCTCGTGCATCTGCATACGCTACAGCCACGCGTCACCGCGATCTCAAATCGGCCGCTATTTACCAACCGTATTTAACGTATTTTTTATTTTGATATTTATCGTGACGCGATGCCATTCTAATACACGATATGTTCTATCTATAACCGAACATTGTTAATTTTAGAAACGAGTTAAGTGATTTCGTTTTTTACGCGAGGTGATTATATTCGCTTTAATTTAATTGTTAATAAAGATAACTTCGTTAATTCTGAAACCGGTATTCGAATAATTGAAGCCTGCTGAACGGATATTAAACGGAAATTTAGAAAATTCGTAAGGATTTGTCAATGATTGAAATGATACAATGTGGAATAGAATTTCACAACATAATTGAAATATAAATGAATTTAATACTATGTAATATATTATTGCATATTATACAAAATGAAATATTCTTTTTAGCATATTTACACTTCTTTATTAATGATTTAACGAATAATATCTTGTTCACCTCACTCACTTGAATATAATGAAATCTAATCAATTTAATAAATGTCCTCGAATAATTTTAGACAAAAAGCTAACCTCTTTTTTATAACTTTCAACTCAGATGAATCATACTAAGTATATATATTAAAAAATAAAAATCTAAATGATATATAATGATATAATAAAGAAAATTTGTTTTCTAAGAATTTTTTGCAGTTCCTAGTACCATTTACACTTTTCGATGCTTTAACCTATGATAGCTTGTTCAGAGATTAGTCACTTACAAATATCCGAATAATTTTAGACAAAAACCTAACCTCTTTTTTAAAATTCAATTCATAAATGAATTTAAATAATATTTAATATATAATATTAATAATATATAATATTACTATAATATTACTATACTGTATTAATATACTGTATCTAAATCTACTACAAATAAATCTAAACGAAATTTGTTTTTTAAATTTTCATAGCATTTTCTTAGCATATATTTACACTTTTCTAGAGATCGATCAATTCGCATACAACGAATACCAATTTAATAAATATCCTCAAGTAATTTTAAACAAAAATCTTTACCTTTTAACTTTTTATAACTCTCGTAATTGAATCTAAGTTATCGTATATACATCTAAATATTTCTCTATCGATGCTCTAACGAATAACATAGGTTCTTGTTTGTCAGTGATTGGTCAATTCGCGTATATAATGAATACTAATTTAATAAATATTCACGAATAAATAATTTTATAGAATTTCGCAATTTTCTTCGAAGGCAGAAACCTTTACCTCTTTCTACCAGCCCAACAACGGCGAGTCGTTAATTGCACGGAAAGGACATTAAATATACAAGTTTCTTCGATCATTTTCTATGATTCATAGAAACCCTGGAGGTTGGACAATAGATAAATCCGGTTACGTCCATCGGCTGCGCTCTTTCAGCCGCAAATTGCGGCATGAAATCTCTCGTGCGCAGTCATGCACTTCTTTGAAAATAGTTTCTCCGATTAATCGGTTTGCCATCGAGTCGAATGTAACGGAAAGGTTATGGCTATTTTATTAAGAAACAACAAGAGAGAGGGAGGGAGGGGACCGATCAGAGACAGTGGAACATAACGAACAAAAAAAAACTCGAGTCGGAAAGAATTCGCTTTCTAAACTATCTTTGCAAAAACTGTTTATGTATCAGACTACACATTCTATTTTCCATATGTTCTTACCCTGCTATATCATCAATTTTATTACATGTAAGGACAAAAGCGTATTTCAAAAGTTCAATTTTCTTATTTTAATGATAAAAAAAGACGAGGCATAGGATTATAAGGGTTTGGGAATATTTTAACGTTACATTTTTTATTTATTTTTTTTCTATACAATGAATATGTTTTTTCCTTTTTTCTTGGCAAATGAATTTATATTTTTACGAGTGTATTTTCTCATTTATCGAGAAATAATTTTCCTCTAAAACATTCTAATAATCAGAATCTTATACAATTTATATTCATATTCATAAATCATCAATGATTATGATCTATCATTTAAATTGCCGCGTTCTCTCAAAGGAACTTTTGGAATATTATCATGTACTACAATCGCCATTTAAAAGACAGAGACTTTGATATTCTGATAGTGAAAAATTCTATTTTCCATTTTTTATTGTACCGTCAGAAAGAAAACAGATTCATTGAAAAATCATGGACAATCGATAATCGGCCATAATCGCTTTAAATAATTGCGGATCGGACAGCGTGTGTCGTTAATCGTCGGTTAATTGAAATGAAACGCAATTTTCAGAAAAGACGTGTACGATTCACGCACGTTTTTTTTATAAACCCCAAGAATCGAAAGAAAGAAATGAGTTTTTCGACGTTTCTCGATGACATTTTACAACGCGTATGGGGACGCGTAATAATTTCCTCCTTTCGTAATCGGTGACAAGATGGCTCGTGTCTCCTCACGCCTTCTTTATTTCCTTTTCGATGCAACCGATGGGCACGTCGCTTTTATGATTCAACCGCACGCCCGTTTTGCAAGTATTGGGACGTTGGCTAACGAGGTAAGTTAACCGATGGCCAATTAGTTTCGAAGAACAACTGGCTTCGATGGAAGTCGAGAAAAGCCAAGGAGAACAATAATCCTGTAATTGAGTAAATAATTGATTCTCGATCAATATGGAGCGTTAATTTCGAAAATTTAATTTTTTATCCGATTTCTTTATTCGAATAATTCGAATTTTATTTAGAAATTTTTAAATAAATGGCTTCTTACCGTTATTTCTTCACTGCATTGGTTTTTTTATTTGTCATATATATCCGTTAAACCTTCATTTTTGATAATAAGGAAATTTACATGTCGCCTGCTTTTCTTTCTGGAATCAAGGAAAAGAAAATAAGATTTTGAATTCTTTCACTTTTAAATTTATAGTTATAACAGGATGTAATATATTTATTCTTCTAATCTAATGTACTTTCATGTAAAGTAACAATTATATGAAAAGAAGAGTGAAATGCACTGTTATTTAAGAAATGTTGTACGCATAAAATGTGAAATAATTCTTCCTAACCTCTTCAGGAACAGTTGTCAAGACATCAAAAACAAGGATACTCTCAAAATACTGTCAAGTAAAATAAAATATTATTAATGAGTTTTTAATTATGTTGTTAATTGTATTGTTTTTAATCATTAAAAGAATTCTTCAACAGATTTTAATCTCTTTGTAATCAATATGAACACACACGTTACGTCGATAATAAAATACGCGAGGATTGAAATTGGCCGATACGAGAAATGAATCTGTTCTCTCGTTACACGAGAATCACTTGGAATGAATAAACATTGAGAAAGGAGTAGTTTTTCTCGGCGAACGAGCCCTGTTTTCCGCACGGATAGCCGTAAAACGCGAAAATGCAAATTCGCGCTACCTAAACACCGGCCATTTTGTTGCAAATTTGCTCACGGTGTGGGCTGACGCGGTGCGGTTACGGAGAAATTCGCTTGGAACACGTCACGGTGCTCGAACCAGCCTTTCGACATCGCTATTCGTCCGTTACAGGTGTAACCGTTCGCTCCTTCTGATGCAACCAACTCTGATGTATTGTTTCCATCGCGGCCAAGATGATTCCGAGTCGCTACTGTCGCTGATCGCTCATCGAGAAAAAAAGATCGAACTCGAGGTGAACTAGGTAATCGGATTAGAATAGAGATCCCGAGATTTGTTTTCCTTGGAAAAGTAATTTCTCAAGAATGTGATGATAGATTGCGTTTAGAAAAATTTTATGCGAATTTTTATTTTCCAGAGAGAATTTCGTATTTTTAATAAAACAAGAAATAGAAATGTTTTATTTAAAATGCATGAACAGAAAAGTTTCACATTAATTAGGATAAAATTTAAAACTACATATATATATATAATAATATTTATAATATATATTCGTAATTGTTATAATTGTTATCTGCTTCGAATAATAAATTATCAAAGCAACTTTATATTTAACCTTTAAAATTTTTTCAATCATCTTTTCAATCATTTATTGCATGTATAAACAAAAATTAATAATACCTTAGAGTTCATTTTAAATATATAACGATGAAAAAAAAGAAAAAAATAATCAAAAAGTTATCGGTGAAACAACATAAATATTGCCGTATATATTTTTATCGATCTACCGTGATGTCAAAAAAAGAAAGAAAAGAGGACACCGAGTCGAGGTTTCCAGGGGAAGAGAAGTAGTGTTTGTAAACTTTTCCAACGAATAATGAATTTTTTATCCGTGTACGGTATACGAGGATGAATATGCATGAGCATTAAGTATAACGGTCGCAATCATCGACTTATGCCAGACCGAAATGACGCGGGTCGTTAATTTATCTCATGGCCCTTGTACGTATACACGTACATACGATAATTTGTAGCAAGCAATATTTGATCCGCGAGCTTTGAAATCGTAAGTAAGCTTTGAAGGCAACAGGCTTTATCAAACGTCACGACCGACTCGGTAGATCGATCAGCCTTTCACTCGAACTCGAAAATTCTTTAGAAACAACGGTACACCTGATAACCTGAGTCCCTGATCCAATATTATTCACTCGGCAATGCCTTTCGATTCTCAGTCTTTTTTTTCCTCGATATCGTGGATCGTATCGAAGAGCAACGCGCACTCCCGTAAAATTTGGAAAGAAAACGAGGAAACGAGTTGCGCAGCGATGTGAGTACATTGTAGCAAAGTCGTTCGTTTTGCTTACTATATTTCGTTTCAGGAACAAAGCGATTCGTTTTACAAAGGAAATTATCAAACTTCATTGATCACGTCATACACGTTATCCTCAAAGTTGAAAAAGTTGGAAATTTGAAGTTGTTTGTCAACTTCTCTACTTTGGCACTCTGATTTCCAGTTTCTTTCTATAAGAGAAATCTTGAACTCCTTTTAAAGAAGTTTTCAGTCAGCAAAGAAGAAAAACTGTGTTGGAACGTTCTTTTCACCGAGCTAATTCTCGATATTTTGATGACGATTCAAGAGTATCTGAAGTATTCTGAACGTCATTTCACTAAGATTGTTCAAGGCACTTTCTTGAAAAAAAACTTTGAACGTGATCGAGAGTTAGGTTAGGATTTTCGAACTTCGAAAGATCGGTGAAACCGAAGAAAATAATTTTTACCCGATATTGTGCACGCGCTTACACAGATACTAATCTAAATATATAATCGGAAATGAGCGTGTCGACGATCTCGTGAGGTCAAGACTGCCCCTCTTTCCACGGGACGGGACCTTGGCGAACGTCCAGCCTCGTGCATAGCTAAACTAACCTCGCCCAACCTAACCTCACCTTGCGCAGACTCTCACCTTCTGCTTTCCTTCTTTCCCCGTTATTTCATCGCGGAAGAGGATACCATCGCCCGTTTCTGCTCTATTCTAAGCTGTTGCGCCTCCTTTTCTGAAGCCTCTTGTCGATTTCTTCTTTTGTTCCCAAGTACACTTACTTTCGCCGCGCTTCCATCTTCTCTTGAATAATCGTGATATTCTTGCTTCTCTTTTTTTTCGAGCTCCTTTCAATTTTTTTACAAATAACCTCTTAATAACTTTTATTTTTATTCAATTCTTATCGTTCGCTCTGAATCATTTTTTTTTCTTTTTTCCTTATTTTCGAGTCCTTGAAGAGAGAGAGAGTAAGTTTTTTGTTTATTTTTAATAATTCCATTCTCTTATTCGTTTTTTTTTTCTCATTCTCGATATTTCTTTACTCAAGCTATTTTGTCTCGAACAGAATTATTTCAATCCACATCTTTTTGTTCGATAACAAGTAATTGTAAACTATTCTCGATCGACTGCGTGTTCGAATCAATCTAGACGATGAAGCATCGAGAGATACTGTGTCGCAACTGCTCGCAATTTCTACGAAATCGGTAAATTTACTTCAATTTCCTTCCAATCTATCCGTCTATCCATCGATTGCAACTCTCGATTCTGAACAGATGCGCCTGATGATCGTTTCGAATCTCAAATTGGATTGGATGATGAACAAGGAAACAATCAGAGAACGTCTTCCTCGTTCTTTCGCCATTCTCTTATTATTCGTAATATTATTCTCTCCCTACGTATACGATTTATAATTTTATTACTTTACGAATTTTAATTCGTCGATACGTAAACCTTTAATTGCGACAATTTTCATTCTCCTTTACTTATACAATATTTTTTATTATTCTTATTACAATTTTAAAAATTGAACAATTAATGATACGCCTTTGAATCAACTAATATCTCGTTTTATAATTTAAATATAATTTGTCATAATGGAAACGAAGTCACTTGTAAAGAAATATCTATATTTCAAATAATTTTTACATCTCCATGTGACTTTAATAAAAATTTATATAACGGCATATTTTCTTCCTGATTCGTGTTACAATTCTTCATCAAGGATCAAAAATTAAACCTAAAACGATAACAATTTCTTTACAAGTTTGGAACGATGGGACAAAAATTTCCTTCCAATTACTACAATAATTAATACAATGTCAAAACGTATAATTTTATTCGATTTCATTAAAAATGGAAAATACAAAGAAAAGATTATATATAAATTTACAAAAAAAAAAAAAAAGAATTAGCAAAGCAAAGAAATGGCTACTCGTGTAACAGACTCGAGCTCGTCTTCGCTCGGTTTATATTTAAGGACGAATCCAATCTGAACGTTAGAGTGGAAGGGAGGGAAGAGACGTAAGGAGGGGGAGATACATAGAACGTTGAGAGTCGGTCAAGGCCTCTCGTCCCTTTTCTCTCTTTCCCATGCTTCTCTTCTTCCTCCTTCCATCCGCTTCGGTCAACCTCCTTCACCTTTCATGGTCTTCGTGCCGTCTAATTACGTATTGTCTAACGGCTCGTAAGTCCACCATGCCACCGTCCCTCTCTTTCCACCATTCGTGTCGATTCCCTCTTCGACCGGATTGTCAACCGACAATACGTGATTACGGTAATACCTGACGTAATGTTACGTCACCGGTCAACACCGTAAATGGCGGCCGCGTTTTAATAGTGGCTATCGATCGATAAATACCGGTCGCGACGAACCGGAAATCGACGAACTTTCGTCGCCCCACAGACTACCTCGTTCATCGAGTTATATTTATCTCTTCGATCCGCGAGAAGAGAAGAAATTGTAAATTGTATTGAATAACTGTATTTATATAGCAAAAGTAATTTATGCATTTATGCAAAATTCAAATATGAAAAAATGTATGGAACGCGCGTGATTACGCGTTAATTGTTACGAATCATTTGAAGAATGCGATAAGGAAATCGATATCCTTCGAATATATTTATACTTTTTTAATTTGTAAAAAAGATACGAAATTGTTGAAACAATTGAATATATCGAATGTATATATTCTCATGAGAGTAATGACTGGATTGTAAATTTTTTTTATGCATTTATGCAAAATATTTGAAGAATATGGCAGAGAGTTTACATTTCTATGTAAACTTAATTTCATTATTGCATAAAAATTTTTCTTTTTTAAAGCAATCTTAAATAGTAATCTAAGCGAATTTTAATAAAAATTCATGTGCGTGTGAAGTATAAAGATAAAATATTTTTTGTTGACAAAAAAAATTTTTTTACAACGGCGTGACGGGATATTAAAAAAAATTAAATGCTCATTTTTCTTATCTCGCGCTGTTGAAGTATATGTTTCAGTATCAGTTTCGTGATTCATTGTATATTGGCAATTACGATAGTATATATCATGGAAATGATTAAATAATGATTATTAGTTCGTTCGAATAAAAAATAAATATTAATTCGTGAAAAAAAAACGAAATATTTGAAACTCAAATAAAATGTTCAAAGAATTCGACGATTTTATTTTTTAATTCTTAAAGATTAAAATTTTTTTTAAGGACGATCCAATGGAAAAAGCTAAAAGAAGCTGTGTTCATAAAAGAAGAAAATTATCGTTGCGATCGTGTAATGGATGAATTCCTTTCTCATAAAAAGCGTGCAAATTTTTTTCTTTCCACTCTTGTGATAAATAGTCTGTTTATACTGTCACCGTTCAGTGCCTCTATTTATGAATCATTGGAGAACGCTTTCACTTCCTCACAGCCAGAAGAATCGTTTTTTCGCTCTGAAAAACATTGACCAAACTATGTTAAAATGTTAGTTAACAAGCTTCCACGCCTAATAATTATCGTGGAGAAAGAGAACGAACGAAATATAGGAAGAAAGAAGAGCGCAGACAACGATTACATTCCGCCTTAATAAATTCTCCAACTTTAAATACGTGAAAATCAATTTCAATTTGAACGCAAGTTAAAATCTCAAAGAAATCTTCAGAAAATTCCATTCCGCCAAAAGAAGAGAGAAAGAGAGAGAGAAAAAAGAAAAACAAACCATCAATCCGTTAAAAAAGCAATTAGCTAAAAATTTCGAATAAAGTTACTTTAAATAATTACTTAACTAAAATAATAATTATAGCTGATCCGCTTTTCAT